GGTTTTCCCCTTCTCATGGCAAAAGCCCATTTCAGGTTGCGTCCTATTCTTCCTCTAGCGGTTGGGATTGTTTGCTTATTCTTCTCTTGAAATGCTGTTCTTGTCTGTCTCACTCTCGTCACAGTTGGTTCCTCTGTCAGACTTGTCTCTGAGCCCACTGAAGTATCCGCAATAACCCCGTTTGCCCACTGTACGGATACCCGATAGACTGTCCCACGTATCTGGATGCCCTGCACTAGCCACTTTCTTATGCGTTGGTCTTTTAGGTTGGGTTTTTCTCGGCGCCGGAATGGGGGATTTGCACTGTTGGATCCCTTGGACGGGCTGGTGTGGATTTCACGTTTGGGAGGACAGGACAGGGATTGAACGGGGGCCTGGCATTCGGTACGGTTGGGCCACTTCTTTCCAAAGCTCCCGGTGTATGCGTTTGTTTTTGGGCTGTCTATTCTGTTCCAGTGTCATTTACTACGGAGCAACACTGCTCGTACTGTATCTCACTCTCATGAGATTCGTCGGGGGGAACGGGACACGACTCTCTGGGCGCATCGAGGCCCAGGCGCTTTGCGGAGACGGAACGAGAGACGAACTCGAGATTTCCCATGGCCCCATCAGAGATTCAGAGCCCAAGCACCGGGGCGATGCGAGCGCATTGCACATTTCATCCCGTCTTTTCCAGCACAAACCAAACATGAGCAGTCGCGGGATTATGTAAGGAGCGATCTGGACCGACCCGTCTATCAACCTTAGGCTTACCTTAGGTAAGAGGTATCCGTGCAAGGTGTACCTGGATACTTGAGGTACCTGCTGCGTAAGGTAAGGACTGAGTCCAAGCCTGTGTAAACAGCGCTGGAAGGACCGACTTCCCGAAACCCTCTGTCGCTTCCTCGCCAGACGCCCTAGAGGTACTGGGTCTGCCCACCTCACGATGTATGGGGCAGGAGCCAGAGTGCGAGAGCAGGCGCAAGAGAAAGAGCAACCGCAGAACTTTGGCAGTCGCCAGCACTGGAAGGAACCAGCAGCAGCAACAAGCAAGGCAGAAGGAGTCACGAACGGTTAAATTGATGAATCACAGCCAGGCCCCTGCTGCGTTGCCTCTCTCAGGGCTTGAGTATCGTACGCTTCCAGCCCGGTCATCTAGCCTGATGCTCCCGTCAAATCCCAAACTCCTTTCGACTTCCAAGCTTCCAGCCTCCAGCTCCTCGAAAGGCCTTCTCTTTTGGGCCGGCATCCACGCGAACAATAACATGGCCTGCTCTTCTCCCCCACTTTCATCTTACGGCCGCAATCATATCTGGTCACGGTTTGTCTCAAGCATACACAGTACACAGTGCCCTCGTCAATCCCAGCCCAGTGGTCACGACAATGCTTTTTTTTTTGTTCGAGAAGCATTGGCACGGGCGCTTAGCTGTCTGACGCGCAGAGATGCCCTCTCTTACCTCTCTCCCCAAAGTCGCCCGCCTCTTTCAATGTGACCCCAAGGATCTAGTAAAAGGCAGACAGAGAACCACCGAAGCCGAACCAGCTTGTTGGGATACTCACCCGCGGGAGACGAAAGCAGCGAACGGCACAGCTCGATCAATCAATGCCAATGCACGAGGCGGTCAGACATCACCGCCCGTAAAGTCTTAGCAACCAAAAGACGCCAGTCCTGCCAGTCCTGCCAGGCCTGCAAGACTGTCTTTGGCAACCGCAACATGCCCTGTTTGGGCTGCTTTGACCAATGCCTACATACGGACACATACTTGAATACGGAGTACAGATACCTTTGCTGTATTCTATTCCAGCCCCCAACTGCGGATACCTATTCGTTCAAAGCTACGAATATAGACACACGTCCATCGCGGACGGCTACACAGGACACGCCTTTGCTTTCACACGTACTATCTCGGCCGAAGGAGCAATGGAGTTCCCTCCACCCCTTATTGGTCTATTGCACCGAAACGACAATGTTCCATGCGTGCTTCTACGCCATCTTTTGCTTATTGACATGCGCACGTTTGAACGACGTACCCATATGTCGACTCATCTTTGTGTCACTACCCATCAGGACAGCGGACAGTGTCAACGTCGAATGTCAAAGTCGCTGTCGACGTCAACCAAGGGTGGTCTCGGCGCCACGCAAACACGAGTACTGACGCATCAGACACGGGTGCAGCTACAGCTACAGGGAACCATCACCTTACACCTTGCCTCGAACTTACACCACAAACACGGTAACCCAGGGACAGCCGGTGTTTACAATGCAGCGACCCGGCCAAAGGCAGACAGAAAATTTCTAAGCCAGTCAGGCAATCACTCGCCCACTTGCCTGACACTACATAACTATAGAACAATCATGCCACCCCGCAGCTGCACAGCGGTGCACCGCATCGCAGGTCCGGAACACCACAAGCTGCATACCGGTGGCATCCACTGTTGTCACTCCTCCTGCGCCGGCCTCGGGGAGGCGGGCAATTCACCCTATGGTTGCTCTGGGTCCGCGCTGCGGGGGCGGGATTCTCGCTTGGCTGAATCGGCCGTAAACCATTTGACGGAACCCTGACGCCACGCCACCCGATTTACTTTGCCTCGACACGCGAACCGAAGACGGCCTCCTTCTTCTACCCACGCGGCCGGGTCCAACTTCGACATGGCTGCCTCATCAAAAGGCACATTTGGGCTTGGGGCGTTTGCAATGGATCTTATCCACGGGCTTACCTAGTCCAGACCCGGCCATCGTCTCGGCGGACGATTCAAGTATTCCCACTCGGCCGACGGCAACTGACAGATTACGAGCTATATCTTCCAAGTTCCGCCTTTGCCAGACAAAGGGGCAAAGACTCCATGACACGGGAATACTAGCTATTGCCCCTGTTCCCAATCCGGACTGCGAGGCAAAAGTCAAAAGTCAAGGTGCAGACCGGCTGCAACAACGTCTTTCAGTGGCAGGTGAGAGATGACACGTCCTGGTGGACGAGTTGCCGCCAGCCAGCCTGTATCCAATCAAGCGTATCGCCGGCGCTGCAGGCGGGCAACTATTGGTGCAAACATCGTTGCAGACGACCAGGACTCTGTAAAGGCTTCCATGGATTAGGTACAGACAGGTGTTTTCGTCATGTGCATCAACCAGCCCCCGACTCAGGGTAAATAGGAGCAACGTGGGATCGTTCTGGCCAACGAGCAGTGACTGTTAGAACCAACCGCATAGCAGCCGCATATGACCCGCCGCCCGCCGGAGTTGGCGATCACGGCGATGACACCCTCCAAAGAAAATAAGCCCATCTGGCCAGTCGGGTCGATGAAATCTTCAGCAATGCTATCGAAGTTCTGCCAGCCGAGGGACGACCCTCTTAGAGTTAGCGGTCCCAAGCTCTCAAGAAGTTCCCTGAGCCCCGCTCGAATACCACCCGTGGATAGCATCGATGCAACTGGCCTCAATTCCGGCTCCGAGCTTTACTGGAAACGGTTTTCTCTGCATGGTGCGGGGCCCGCGGAAGGACAGCCTTCGACAACTCTACCAGAGAAACCGGACAGAGGACTCAAACAGCTCGACTTTGTGTCGTCATGTCACGCACGACTCGAATGACTTGCAGCGGCTACATCTCCTCGACCCTTTCGTGTGCATACTCGCTCATGTATTGACCAGGAAGATTTTTCTATTGTTCTGCGAAGCGGCCGCTTCCCCTCTTTGTTGATTGCTGTTACAGGATGTTTGAATCGGTTCGGACTTCATGGACTCCGTCTCAGTTGTCCTTGCTATGGGAAGGGTCTTGGAGGTCAAGTAATCGACTGGCACCTCGGTCGCACCAAATAAAGCCTATTTGGTGGCAGATCATACCCGCCGACTAATGAAGTCTGCGGGTTTGAGTGGCGCTACGGAAAGATTGGCTTGGATCGACGCTCCCATGTGTTGATTACCCGTCGGACCCTTTTCTCTATTTACGGAGCACATCTTGGGCATCCGCAAGACACCCACCGAAATGTGAATGAACTAGGAACGATTGGTACTGAATTGCGTTCTGCCTACGGAATTGACGTCTTACACTCCAGTTGTCACAGTGCTGGGTTCAACCCAGGGCAGCTGAGCCAGAGGGTCGGGAGACCCCAGCCAAGTGGTTGATGGTGCGGGCGGCAAAGGCTTTGTTCGCTCTTTGTGTCCCTTCCAATCTCATCTCTCAGATCTGCCAACGGGGACTTTCGGTAGCTTCACAAACTCTCTACCACGAAGGAGAGAAGATCTGTTTCCTCTCTCACCGCCTGTCCGAAGCCAATCAGCGGCTGAACCATTGTCTTGGGAGTTCAACTACCTTGGACGAAGGATTCTTACAACCAGGGCATCAGAGGGAGTTGAACCCAAAGAGGCAGCTTCATCCTCGATAGGTTTCAATACGCGTGCCCAGACTTGCAGGTCAGATCCACCTCAACCTCTGGATTGCCCAATTGGCTCCTTTACGTGAGAGGCTTTGTCTTTTATGGTTTTATCGCCACAACCAACACCTCGATTTGGAGATGATCCTTCAGTCAGCTGCAAACTTCAAGCTCAGCTCAGCTCATTTCAAGGGGGGCCAATAGGTGTATGGAACGGCAACATCAACAAAGAATGCTGATTTAGACCTGCGGTTTAAGAAAGTCATACCAACCGTACAACCCGACCAATTTTGGAAACCTAGGCAGAACCCTATAATTTCACAGGTAGCTAACCCCTTCATTCCAAATGCCATGGGATAGATGGAACGTATCAACAACAACATCTACAGCCTTGCAACCTTGGCGGGGCGAAAACGTCGTCGCCTCCTGCGTTTCAGGGTCGCAGACCACGGATTCGCCGAACCAGGTCGCCGGCGTATCGACAGCTCCTCCAGCCGCCAGTCTCGTTAGCCGCTACGAGTGCCTGGCATGAACAGATCTTGCAAATCTGCGGCGCCTTCGCGCCCGCCCGCTGTTATTTCCGGAACACCTTACCACTTCAATCTACTGTGTAATACGCCACATGTCAATCCAAATTCCCAAGCAGACGGTGCGCCGCTCTCAACGGTTTCGGTGCGGCGGCTCGAGTTCGGTAGTGATTGGCGTCGGGGGCGTCCGTCATGAGACCTCCCCATACCTCCACTTTGGGATACCGCTTCGTTGCATCGGTGACGTCCTCTGCGTGGCTGCGATGGGCTTGGTCGCGTCGGTTTGGCTCCATCAGAGCTCTTCCAAATCACAGGTCGATGAATGCTTTTTCGAGCGCCCCCTGTGACCTGCCGTCTGCGTATCACGTCTGTCCTGGAAAGTACTCTTCCCTTGTTTCCTAGGCCTCTGCCATGAGTTTATGGCTGATAGACGCAGAAGGTTACAAGTCAGCGACGATTTCCGCGAACGCCATCTATGGCGTATGCGAATACCCCATTTTCACAGCAGCACACACAAGGGCGTCTCTTCTCGTGAAGACTACCCATACTTTCTCCAGCCGTGTTGTTGAACTTGTTGCACGGGTTTCGTCTGATCGCCGCGTCTTCTGGAATTCTCAGCCTCCCCGGTCCCTGTCGAACGGGCCGAGACGAAGCGTCATCTCTACTCATTTTCCCCCTCGGGCCCCTCTCCCTTCCTCTGCGGGGTCCGACACGATGAACCGCTATGGAATTTGACTTCTGACTCTGCTACGGTACGGTAGCATTGGAATTCGCCACCATTTGATTTTCAGTCGATTTTCTCATTGTTTGCCAATTACCAAGGTCGGGGTGTGGGCAGAAAAAGAAAAAACAGAAAAGATGAGCGGCACGGCGGGTTTTCCGCTTGCCGGGTTTTGAATGTAAGTCGTCCCCGGGGTCCTTGTCCTTGTGCCGGCCCGGTTCGCGTGACTTTCCCGACTTGTAGGTCAACGCCGTCCGGTCACAGAAGGGCTGCCCCCAAATGGCAAAACTACATACACAATAAGGTACCAATACCCACCCCCCTGTTTCCTTGTTGGCGATCATTACCGTGGCCGCTGCCAGGTGAGAGCCCGTTGTGAAGCTTTGTATTTCTAATCTGCTGGTTTTTGGGGGCCGTGTTAGATTGTCATCGTCGCTGGGACAGACGTAAATCGGCTCGCAGACGTTGGCGCCCGCCACCCCCGCGAATCCGGACCCGAATTCTGGTCCGGCTTGACGTTAAGGAAAGTTTTTGGTATCCTTGCTGCCCCAGGGCACAAGGCTTCGAACTTGGAGACAGCGTGGCAGCCCACCAGACGCATGTTTTCGACAGCGTGGCTCACAGGGGTCTTGGCGGCTGTGCTTAGAGTTTCCATGTTGCAACTCTATTAGAGTTGTGGTTGTCTCTGATAGCAATCGTCGCAAGGTGTAAGTCAAGCTAGCTATCGCGGCTATTGTTGTGTTCTAGTGGGCTAATTGATATCGAAGACTTGATAGACTCCCATGGTCTTGGCAAGGGGGCTTTGTCTTCCGAGTCTCCTTTCCCCTCGCCGGCTCACGATAGTAAACAACTCTACTCTGTACGCGGCGAACATTCGGCGGATGCGATGTGATATCCCCTGAATTATTCGGATCTCGGCCACGTTGGGAAACTTTGCGGTCAACGGCGGACTGATCGGAAGATTGTGGATAATTATTGTCTGTGAAACGGGCGTTTGGGGAGAAAGCGCAATCTTGGACCATTTCGGCCCCGGATATCGTTCAAGTTGACCGCTTCGAAGAGAAGACCGAGGCGCGCGCAGAGTTCGCAATCGGCCTTCTCTTGGCCAGCCAAATTGCCATTGACAAAGTTGTCAGTGCGGTTCACTCTGGGGGGAAAACGAAGCACGCCATCTTCCGTCTCGTGATATGAGGATTGCTGCTCGTGCACCATCACAGGCTAGATGTCCATCCTCGGCGCTGACGACGACACAATTTGCAGAGTTGCATGTTGAGTTTTGTTCACAAGGCGGGAATGCTCGCTCTCGCAAAGGCTGCGATCGGATGCTGAAGAACCTGGACCGCGATGGTGACATTTCACCAGGCATGCTCACCATCGTGACTGGGGTTTGAGGATCGCGGACCCCCTTTCTTGTCGAGGTCTATACGCGCGAACCAACGATCTAGATTATAGACCGTAGCCCCTTCTCACCTTATCTGGATGCCGTCCAGCTTTGGTGAAGGCACATAGGAAACAGGGGACTTGATCGTTCTAGAGATAGGCAAGGGGGCCTCCAACAGCCAGAATCTCTGTACTTGTGTGAAATGCGATAACCGTTAGGAGGTAGTCTAGACCGCGCTTAGGTCTGCCGATAGCTATGCGGGAGGTGCCTCCAGAGCAACAAATACGAGAAATATGCTTAACTATTTAGGAGCAGAAACTTCAGACATGATATCCGCAGTCTTTTGCCCCTGAAGCACGAAGAATACTCGAGACCCTTATCACGAGCCGGTAATGAAGGCATTCGCAGATTCGAGTGTCGAGCAGTCACCATACTGCGCATACAACTGCCGCGAATATCATCCGAACGTGCCTGATCGATAACGTACCTGTGTCAAAGTGCCGGGGAGGGAACAGGCATACGGATAGTGTTGTTCGAAATTCGACGTGCGCTTGTCCCTTGCAAAGCCTGCAAAGGGCCGATTTACTTCGCAACAGCATATCTAAACACCGATAGCCTGGGGGTTGTTTTCCCTCCCCCCATCCCCCCCATCGGCATTGTGTCCGAAGGTTCGTTGACTTGGCGCCTTGGTACTCCGTGCTCCGTCCGCGGGTTGTACTACTCAGTAAGAGTATACTTTTCTGCCCAGGCGACAATGGGAGGCAGACTCGGGAGGCGGAACGCATTGGACGACACATACAGACGTGTGCATGTGCGAATCTTGCGAAGAATATCCGAAGTGTCGTCTCGTTGGTGTGTACGCTGTAATGAGGCCTTGACGAGTTTCAAACGAACAGAGAGCGCGCCAATGGGAGGAAAGCGGAACTCGACACGGGCTGGCAACGCCGAACTGGGTAGTCATCACCCACCAACGAGGCAACGACGGCTTCTGTTCCGTAGTCAGGTTCACCGTTCAGGGTGGTTGAGGGCCAATGAGAGTTACGTGCTGTTGGAGCTTGGGTTCAACCGACCCCCCGTTGCCTCGGGGGCTTGTTCCACCGCTTTAGTAAAGATGTCCCGTTTCATGATAGCTGGCCCTTTCTGCAGTGTTTTTTCTTTGTATTTCTGTGCCAAGAGCGCTGTGGTTCGGGGGGGGATGTTCCACGGCTTCTGCCCAAGAGGGCAGGTCAGCGGCGGTCGAAGAGTCCTGCGAGGCCCCGAATGGGACATGAGTTCGGGGATGTTGGATGGGGTTTGGCGCTGTCCACGTCGGGAGATGCGCCGTAGAGCCGCGGTAGAGGTGGCTCATTTCCAACGTCTTTAGTGGGGTGGTTGCGAACGCATCGTCTTGTCTCTGTCTATTCGGCCGGGAAAAAGACCCTCCCCACCTATTGTGGTCTGTCGACAATCGACGACGACGACAACGACGACAGCTAGACGTAACCGTGGTGTACATATGCAGACGAGGACGAAGACGGCGACGACCGACGGCCAGTGCGGCACTGGCGGTGCGTGGCTTCCCCGGTAGACGCGTTGAATTACGGCCAGGGGTTATGGAAATAGAACCGAGCAGAGAGAAGTTTGACGCGCTGTATCCGTGCATAGTAATGTCACTAGGTGACTATGATGCAGATGGGAGAGTCTGCTCCGAGCCTCTGATTGCAGAGACCACGCTCATGTTACCTCCCTGTCAGAGGGCTGTGATGTCCCGCGCCATCACCCGTTGCGTACGACTATGCGCAACCTAGGGTGTAAATTGGCGATCAAGGGCGAAGTTGGGCGTGTTGGGGTCAAATTCTTGTTTCTCTTCCCTGCGTGCCGGTGTGATGAAGAACATGATTCCCCAGTGTTCTCTCTGATTTTTTTCGGGTTCAATGGAGCTCGTACGTTGGGCACCATTGTCGATTGGACCGGCCGGACGGCGGACATTGAGAGTGTTGAAACTCGCAACGGGGTTCCTCCCAGGGAAGTTTGGATGCGCGTTGAGAGGCGAGCGGGAGGGCCCGCGGCGCCAGACCGGGGGGTTGGGTCTTGAGGACTGGAAAATCGTTCTTTCGCTAAGGACACTGGCATGAGGTCGTTGTATCCTCTGTTTTGAAGACTGAATAGGGTGTTGTCAACTGCTGATCAACATTGCGAGTTTTGTCTCCTTGCAGTTTTTGCCCCCGTTGTAACTCTGTGCAAGTGCAGACTTGCAGTGATTCGTACTAAGAGTTGACCGGGGTCCCACTTCGGACGAAGCCCCTGAAGGCTGAGTGAGAAGTCTAGTAAGGAAACTTCGGATGAGTTCCTAACTTCTTATTTAGCTGGGGAGGGGGGAGGGGTTAGATTCAGGACTTGGATGCTCTTTGAGACTTGGACCGCGGGGAGACGGAATGCTGCGGTGGCCGTGGCAGATACCCAAGATGTTAATAAACATGATGGACGACGGCATCGGCGGGATACAGCTCATCTCGAATGCCTGTCCTAGAATGAATCTAGGCAGCTTTGCCAGGAATTAATTGGTGGTGATAGCTCGCGTTCATGGTGTATGTCTTTTTGGCTTGTTATAAGGGCTTGGCACATTACCTTGCCCGCGAAATGCCAGAATTGTTTCCTAGAAGGGACGGTAAGTTCAATTGGCCCTGGTTTGTGACCCCTTCGTCATGAGACTTTCTCATCAGGGACAACCCAGGAGAGGGAACCCTGAATCTTGGGTCAAGGAGTCGCAGACTGCAGTCTTCTGGGCGTATCGGGAAGTTTCTTAGATGACTTTTATTTTGACTTTTTGACAGCCGTTTTGACAGGGCCCCCGTTCAACGTTGGCTCTACAACGCTAGACCTGGAAGGGAAAAAGGAAACATCCACGGGCAAGACTGGGCCCTCCGTCCGTTCTGGCCCGTACCGTCTATGGGACGTCTAATATCCGTAGTCTTTGGCTAGATGCGTGTATCCGTATCTGTGTGAACTTGTGTGCCGACAACGCCGGGGAATGCTCTCATTACCCATTTTTATTGTGTTGAAGTTTTTCTGCTCATGGTCATTGTTCAGCCTTTTCGAGCGAGTCGAGTCCAGCGCTTGCTATGCGAGGAGCGCGCGGAGTGTGATTAGGTAGCTGTCAGTGTCGTGGTATGTGATATGGGGCCCTGTGCTGTTCACAACTTCACTGTGGGATCCATATCCGCATCCGCAGATATAATGGAGACGTTCTCTTGGCCCCGAAAGAATTGCCTTTCTGTGCTCTGTTCTCCGTCCAAGCGCGGCCCAAGGGAATGGGCGACTGTGCGGAGACCTACGTCACAGGTGGCTCCTTTCTCCTACAGATTTGACTCGACCGTTTTTCAATGAGGTGGATTTGGGAGGTGGATATCTGTATGGTTACCCTGGGATCCTGGATGTTGTTCTGGGCACCCATGCGATGGGGGATGTTCGACTCTTGTGGTTCGGGGCCGGCCCCCGGAAGTCGGGAATTCTTAATATTTGGTGTGTGCTCAGTTGACCGTCAGTGCGCTACAGTGCACGGTCTTTGTGATAGATGAGAGATCATCAAGAAAATCTGGGAATCGAGGGAAACAGTGACGAGTCCTGACTCGGCGGTGGAAGAAACTGCCTCAGATGCCATGATCTGATGATCGAGAGAGGGTTTGAGCCGCTTGACACCCCATGATTTGAATGGATAGAGTCGCCGAGGCATACTAGGTATTATCTGTCGTATCGAACAGCCCGGTAGGTTTGACTAAGTCTCTGCTGTGCCGCACATTGGTTATTATTATAGCGACGGCTGAAGCGCGAAAAAAACGGAACTGGACCGCACCGATGGGATTTGCTGGTGTTCGCCCTCGTGAGGATGACAAGTAGCCTGCGAGAATCGGGAGAGTGTGGGAAGAGGACCCTTGACATCCGAACGCACAGGTTCCAGGGGAGGGTTTCCCTTGTTCCACTCGTTCTTCATAGGGCTTCACCGAGGATGGAGATTTGGAGGTGCCACCGTGCCAGGGCCCAGGGACCAAGGTGGGTGCGAAAGAGAGAAGGGGAAATGGGAGGAGACTGTCATGGTCTCATGGCACCGTTACGCGGCCCAGCCCCGGGGACCCTGTGTGTTGGTAACCGGGCTGAGATTGCCAGATTGCTCTGCCTTGGCCGCGCGACTCATGTTGTGCGGAATTGCGGCAGCATGATGAGTCGGTGTCCAAGATTTGGGGAGCTGGGGGGGATGTAAGGCGTCTGTGCTTTCTCGTCAAGATGGTGATGGTAGGCGATGCCGTGATGGCGGTGCCAACACCTCTCCTTTGAGCTTGGGAATCGAGCCACTGGAAGTTGACTCTGTGGTGCCGCGGCTGGCGGAAACGCGAAAGGGGGGTTTTTGGAGGCCGCTGTGTAATCTCTGAAGAAATACGAGGCCGAACCGAGGTACTGGGATCGGAACAGATCCGTCTTTGGGGGCGTCCCGGAAGTTCATGATACCACTTCGGGCGGCTGTGGTCGGTGGCTGTCACGGTTCAGGCTGACCGTCGACCGCTTGATGGTGCCAGCGTTGATTTACACTCCCGGGGCACAGAGGCCCGGCGCTGTTGTCTAATAGTACCGTCTCATACGGACAGGGACCTCGAAAAGCAACTCGGTCGAGCAACATCGTAAAGTTGAAATTGTTTCAAGAAGAAGAGGGCCCGATTCTTGAGGTGGACCAAGACAAACGAGAGCAAGTCAGCAGGATGAGGCCGATATTAACTGCCATCCTTACCAACGCGGCGGGCCCTGACTGACGCCGCTAGCGTGGACTCGTTGGTTGTGAACTTGTCGTCAATAATCTGTCAGATTGTTGTCAGCCGTTGTTGTCCCTTGTCTCGGCATATCAAGCAAACTGTCAAACCTGTCAAATCTGCCGCACTCGCACATCAATTCTTCTTGGAAACCTTGGGGGTGCCGAAGGGGTCGGGAGTTGAAAGGGGAAAAAACCAAGACAGCTAGCTGAGGCAGCAGCTGACTGACGAGACAACATTCAGCCACGCCCCTTGCCCCTTCTTTCCTGTAATTCGCTCTCTTGATTGATGCCACCTGCAGAATGTTTCCTGGATTTCCATCTGCTTCCCTCAGGCACAGTCGACCACCGCCATTTCTTTCCTCTCCCCAATGTTCGGAAGGGCAGACTCTGGAGGATCCACTCCAGAAGACCAAGTCAGGGCTCCGAGATTACTCCCCACTTGGAACAGGCACTTATTCCGTTGCTGCCCCAGAATTTGGCATCGCAATTCGAAGATCGTGGCGGACATAGCTCAGTTGGGAGAGCGTCAGACTGAAGTCAACTTCAATCACTTAATCTGAAGGTCGTGTGTTCAATCCACACTGGCCGCATCTTCAACTTTTGCCGTTCGCCCTCAACATCGCATTGGCGATATGCCAACTTTTGGTCCATGCCTGCCTGGACTGCATTGGACTCGGTGCTGTAAGAGTAAACGCAGAGTACCGGATTGCCGGATCCCAGGAGTGACTTCCGTTCTGAGCGACCATTGTTCCTTTTTCGTTGAGTC